TGTGTGTGTGTGTGTGTGTGTGTGTGTGTGTGTGTGTGTGTGTGTGTGTGTGTGTAAACCCACACAGTCTGATCCGTTCTGCAGTAGGAGTACTTTAAAGATGCATTGTTTTTTTCAGTTTTCTGTCTCTAAAATGGCTCCTGGTTGTTGGTTGTGATTCAGTGCRGAAGGGTCTTAAACGGGTCGAGTTGCTCACTGGGTTCTGACAGTACCAGRAGGGAACCGCTCCCACAGAATCTGATGGCTCCAGGTTTGTGTTTCTCCATCCTGACAGATGTTTAAACACAACTCAAGGCCCCACCACAGGGTTTCAGTCAGCTTCTGGATTCTGAGTGGACCTCATTCAGTTGTAGATCAGCTGCTGTGTTTGAGATCAYGGTTCTGTTGGACCCAGTTTGGTCCAAATTTCAGCTGTCAGACTGATGGACTCACATTTGACTCTAGAACATTTGATGGGATCCCGAGCCCCTCGTGACTCAGCATCTCAGACATGACAACCTTTCCAGRCTCAGAGAAACTCTGAGTGACACCGGGCCTGCAGGGCCCAACAAACGGTTCTGAATCCAGCAGCTCTCCTTCCTCCCTGCAGGAGGCCAGGGCCGGGGTGGAGGAGAGTCAGGCCCTGAAGTCCCGGATCCAGCTGGCCGAGGAGGCCCAGAAGCAGGCCAGGGGGATGGAGATGGACTACGAGGAGGTGGTCCACCTGCTGGAGGCTGAGATCGCTGAGCTGAAGACTCAGAAGGTGGAACCTCCAGCTCCGAAGAAGGTCAGAGCTTTAAAAAAAATAAAATAAAATAAAAAACTTTGATCAAAACTGTCTCAGTATTTAAACCTGATTTCATCARACCAGCTGGGATTAATTGGAACAGATTTGGTCATATTTACATCTTTAATTGTTGTTTACAGAGAAACCTGTTGTTGTTTATGTTTGTATTTTCCCTCCAGGAGGAAACGGAGGAGCTGAAGAAGAGGGTGGCCGTCCTCGAGTGTCAGCTACGGAAGAGCGAAGCGGCCAAAAAGAGTTTTGAGATGTCGACAGGAAAGCTGCTGAGCTTTGTGGAGGTAAACATTAATTTTGTTTGTTTGTTTATGAAAACATTCATTTAAAAGCTGCACTGGAAAATAATCTTTTATTCATTTTTATTAATTTCACACGAATTATAGTTTGTGTAAAACTGATTAATTTGAATTTAGTTCAAAATATTTAATATAATCTAAGTGGTGTTTGTTTGTTTGTTTGTTTGTTTGTTTGTTTGTTTGTTTGTTTGTTTGTTTGTTTGTTTGTTTGTTTGTTTGTGACT